AGGAGAATGTTCAGATGTGTAGTGTTGAATGTGTAACTTCTTTCCACAACATACAGAGCCTGAGTCCATGCCTTCTCTTATGGTACAACCTTTAGTCCAGGTCCTTTAGATGTGCAACTCGATGGGTGAGTGGCACAGTGCTAGTCATCAGAGACAATGGCTGACGCAGACACGAAAATTGACAGTAGGAAGTGAGTAGACATTATCTTTAGTCAGTAATCAACAGAAATGACGAACTTAAGCTGAAAGTTCACTTGGCGGTAATAGCTACTTTTAAACGTAAGCTTTTTCGTGACTACAGGACGATACGAGAGCGTTAAAGGAAAAGCGTCTAAAGATACATGTACGCAAAGCTCAATTTGTGGTTAATTCAGTTAGATACAATAACACCAATTTACGGCAAAATCAGTGTCAGGAGAATATAGTAGCAGTACTGAAGAGTTTTAGTGTCTTCTCAAAGGTTAATGTCACATATTTTTAACTCTGAGGGAAGCGTCCGGCAAACGACCAGACACTCTTGTCGACCGGTTAAACTGGTTCCTCTTGTTGTCATCTGTAGGAAGACAACAGGGATGCACCATCAGACCAACGATGGCGACTTGTCGGGTTTGCTGACCAGACGCGGGAAAAATATTGTATAAGCGCTAACATTATTTCCGTCACTATGAAATAATATTCAGAATATATATGCACTTATACAAATTGCTTGGGTTATTTTAAAGTATAGATTCTTAGAAAAAAATTTGATAATTATGAGAAAAATACCTCACTGTAGGTCAACCAGCAAGAGACAAAGGTTCAGTCATAACAGTACGTGTTCATGTACCTTAATATATGATACTTCATGTTCCTTAGTCGTATTATAACAGTTAAGACACTTTGTTCACACAACAAGACAGCTTCACCATCATACCCGCCGTTCTCCTCTACACACCTGTTGTACACTTCTAATGTACGGCCTCAGGGAATCAGATCACTCGACCTGTCGACCTTTGGCTGTTTTAAATCTGAATAAAACATTTTTCCCGGAGGAAAACTTTTGTTTTGAAGTTATAAAACTCTTAACTGTTTAAATGAAGAGTTAGATATTCAGGGGTTGTCAAGAAGTGGAAAGAAGCAAATAATGAATGTATGAAAATATTTGTAACGATGCGTCAATGTTATACTAAGTTATTTTGTATTACCATATACCTGTGTATATATATATATATATTTATTCATTGGCCGCTGTACACTCTTATTCCAAAAATTATTTACTTGTAAGTTCACTTACCGCTATCGTACACTGGCCACCGAAAGTTCTCGGACGGTCTCAGGGCCACACAGTATGATAAAACATTGCTCTGAGGAAGTTTTATTGCCAATTAAATTAATTCTTTTCGCCCGTAAATACTATAAAGACGAACAACATATATTATAACGAAACATTGAGTGTAACCTAGCAACCATTCTGAGACGACAAGAGGGTCATATAGTGCTCCTTCTGGAGCTGTCGCCCAGCTGCTCGGGTACATCACCACACCTTTAGTCTTAAGAGTCGTTTGCTTGACAATGTTTGTGTGAGAGAGAGGTGGGACGTGGCGGATGACGTCACGGCTGGCAATTGCGTATAATGCAGTGTCTTTATCAGTTACCGACAGGCACACACACACACACACACACACACACACACACACAGTGGTATACTTTAGATTATAATCTATAATTATAGAACTGTCTTAGTAGATAGCAGACATAATGTTAAAGTACTGACTGTGAGTGACTACAATCATTATTTTTGTTATTATAAAGGTATACCTAAACTCACCGCTGACTGTATATAATAATGTTGTCGTGAACGTTTCTCCTCTACAGTACTAACACGTCAAGGTATTTCATAGAAGATTAGAAACTTCTTGTGGGGTTTTTCCGTCGCGTAATCAAAATGTTTTCTGCCTCATCATAATATCCAGTTTGTATGATGTAATGTATTTTCTTGCAATGGTTTAATGGTCAATATTACGTGCAGGTGATGCAAATGTGTGTGTGTGTGTGTGTGTGTGTGTGTGTGTGTGTGTGTGTGTGTGTGGGAGGTGATGCAAACGCTTGTGTTATGTTCAGCTTTGGTATGTATGTATGTACTGTATGTATGTATATATATATATATATATATATATATATATATATATATATATATATATATATATATATATATATAGTTAGTATGTGTGTCGTACCTAGTTGAGAGCAACACAAGTTTATGCGTCTTGTTGAGGGCTGTAATGTATTAATGAACCAACTGAACGCATGTAAACAGAATATTCCTGGGAAGCTTTGACCTTGATGTGTGCAGCATACTGTAGTTCCCCGTACTGGTAGTGGGTGACTGCTGCACGTCCGCCTCGACCCTCAACAGGATTCGAGGAAGGTTTATAATCTTTACCATAGTACTACTTTATTGCGTGATGCTCCCCTGAAGCTTCTGTCTGTGTGTGTGTGGTCATTCTACAAGGGGTCAAGAGTTCAACAACATGTCAGCAAAGTTAGTTAAGTTCTCTGGGAAATTCTACAATGGTAGCGGGATTTCCCTCAGCGGATGTGCTTGCTTGGGGGAGGGGGGGAACATGTACTAGAAATTAACTAGATGATAAACTTTTAGTTATGGTGGGGTTAGGTTATAGGTTAAGTTTGGTAGGTTTGGCTTAAATTACGTTAGGTTGGGTTAAGTTAAGTTAAGTTACACCATTAACATTACTGTAGTTTTTTTTAGTAAGGAGTAACACTTCATATTAACACACAAACAAAAACACAACAAAACATCACACACACACACACACACACACACACACACACACACACGATACTAATAACAAAGAAAGTTCTCCGTAGTAAAGGAAATGGTTGGAGGATTTTCCCAGTTGTTTTTTTCTGAGGTGTTTGCGTGCAATGCGTGTATGCTTCTTTGACTTAGTGTGTGTGTGTGTGTGTGTGTGTGTGTGTGCGTGTGAGAGAAATACGTGCTTGTGTGTGTGATACGTGCTTGTGTATGTGTGTGCGCGCGTTCACCGACAAAAGATAACGTAACCAGAACTGAGTCGGGTAACACAATATCTGGCTGCGTTCAGGCACTTGTCAGCAGCGTCCACCATTAGCACCCGCCAGGACACGTCGAGCCGGCCTACCACGTCGTGTTTACATTCCAACACCTAAGGTCACTCAAGACAGCACACACACTTGACCCAAATTACCTGTTGCAGTTATAATGTGACTCCTGTTGACGGACGGACGGACGGACGCAGTGATGTGTTACCCAGGACCTTTTCCACTCAATATTAGTGCCACATAGGGCCACCCCCTCTCAATATTAGTGCCACCCAGGGTCACCCCCTCTCAATATTAGTGCCACCCAGGGTCACCCCCTCTCAATATTAGTGCCACATAGGGCCACCCCTCTCAACATTAGTGTCACATAGGGCCACTCCTCAATATTAGTGCCACATAGGGCCACCCCCTAAATATTAGTGCCACATAGGCCACCCCTTTCAACATTAGTGCCACCCAGGCCACTCCTCTCAACATTAGTGCCACCCTGCCATCAACATTAGTGCCACCCAGGGCCACTCCCTCTCAACATTAGTGCCACCCCTCAACATTAGTGCCACCCAGGCCACTCCTCAATCCACCCAGGGCCACCCAGGGCCACTCCCTCTCAACACTAGGGCCACCCAGGGCCACTCCCTCTCAACACTAGGGCCACCCAGGGCCACTCCCTCTCAACACTAGGGCCACCCAGGGCCACTCCCTCTCAACACTAGGGCCACCCAGGGCCACTCCCTCTCAACACTAGGGCCACCCAGGGCCACTCCCTCTCAACACTAGGGCCACCCAGGGCCACTCCCTCTCCACTAGGGCCACCCAGGGCCACTCCCTCTCCACAGTAGTGTTCTTGAGAGATATTCCTCCTAATGGAGACGGCCGAGAGGTCCCCCCCCGCTATATATTTAGAGGCTGGGTTCAAGACATTTGGTCGACCCCGGTATAATAGCGCTTGTTCTTACTGTCTCCTCCTCCTCTCCTTCTTCTTCTTACTTCCTCCTCCTCTCCTTCTCACTGTCTCCTCCTCCTCCTCTCCTACTTCGTCTTCGTCTTCTTCTTTTCCTACTTTACTTCTTATTATTGTATTCTTCTTCCTTCTCTTCTATATATTTTCTTTGTCTTATTTCTCTTCGTGTTTCCTCTTTTCCTCCTTTTCTTCTTCTTCTTCTCTCTAGGCTTCATTCTTGATATTTTCTTTACGTTCTTCCCTGTTTCTCATTTTCGTCTTAATTCTTTTTCTCTCTTGTTATTTCTTCTTTCTTCCTGAGTCTCTTTTACGCTGTTCTTTATAGCTCACGTTTCTTACCCCTTTCTCTCTTGTTTATTATCCTGTCTTTCTCTTCAATTATTTATCATTCTATCTTCCTATTGTCTATCATCCTTCAGTCTTCTAGTTATCATTCTGTCTTCCAATTACCTATCATCATCATTCTACATCATCGTAATACACCTCATTCTCATCCACATTCAAATTACTTATATATATTACGTTTTTTATGAGCTATATGAAGTAAACAATTGACATAAGACAGCGAATAAATTAAAAATTATATATTATTTCCACTGATAATATTACTATCATTCTTTTAATAAACTTGACGGATATTTTTAAGAATATTTAGTAAGTTTCTTTTATTAAAATTTATAACTATGGAAAAATTGATAAGATATTGAACTATTATTTTTTTATCCGTCATCGATTAGCTTTTGTTTTCATGTTAGGTCAGGTAAGGTTAGGTTAGGTTAGGTTAGGTTAGGTTAGGGTATTTTAAACCTGTATTAATTATCCTCACTAAACTATAAAGGTATTATATAAAAAAATGAGAGGTAATAGGTTAGGTTAGGTGAGAGGGATGAAGGAGAGGGAGGGGTGAGAGGGATGAAGTAGAGGGAGAGATGAGAGGGAAAAGATGAAGGGGGAGGTGAGTGAGATAGCTAGTCAGAGGTGACTATGAGTGCAGCAGCCAGGGAGAGGAGGCAACAGCAGCTCCCTCCTCTGCAACAGGTCTGCCTTATCTACTGAACAAGCAGTATGGTGATGGGGCAAGTCCTGACCTATGGTGGCCGGGCGGGAAGTGGCACTACTGTGGTGCCAGCGCTTATACTCCTGTACACTATATCTCTCCTTGTTTGTTTTTTATCACATTTTAAAGCTCTCTCTAAGCTGAATGGTACGGTATTTAAAACGTTTCCTTATGCTCTCAAGCTTAAGCAATCAGACTTTTACACCTGAGTAAATTGTTAGCCAAGTACAGTATTAACAAAGTTGCTAATGCTCTGATTTTTTCTCATTTCTTATAAGAGCATCTGTAGAGCTGTCTGGTGAGTCAGCTGAGCGAGTGACCTGATTTTCTGATTACAAGATACTCTACGTCACATATAGTATGGGGTTCCTCTATAGTACAGTAGTAGAGTTGCCAGGAATGTTACGCCGGCCGACTTACCGCACTGCCAGGCGTTGTGTATCGTTCGTCCGGCAGAGCGGCACGAGTCACATGCCAGATCGCTATATATACTCGCCAGGTGTACACACTTCTCCTCAGTCGAATTCAAGCGTTGCCACAACCTGTGTATCTCCTAGACAGGTTCTCGAGAACGACAGTATTAAACCTTCCAGTATATAAACGTGTCGCCAGAAGTTTCATTTTAAGTGTTCCCAAAACGGAAACTGTTAACACGGGTCTTCTTAAAGTTGATTTGCCAGGAAGCTGAAAGGTAGATAGGTGCCTTCTGCAGATTAAAGAGTGAAGGTGACAGCCTTCATTCAGTTTTCTGCAGATCCATTATTACAGCTTATAAATTTCCGGACTCAGTATTTTTAATGTTCAGTGAACAATAAACAAGAATAGTGATTAACTTTACTGAAATTCTGGCGCACTTGTCAGCGAGTGACGTCACAGACCGGTACAGTACTGTCAAATCGATCAAGCGAGTTTAGCGTATTGAGCGACTTTGGTGAATAACGATAAGTCAGCCGTGTGTCAAATACTCCAGGTGACAGTTAAAAGATAAACCGGCACCATGATGCAAGTAAGCACAATGTACGCACAATCTCTCGAGCGTCAGTTAGTGTCTCGACGCTCACAACTCATCCACAACCTTTCCCGCTCTAGCTGTGGCCAGGCTGAACCGATGCGACAAGCTTCAGACGCCCCCACTTTAAACCCGCTACCCCCCCTATCGCCACCCCACAAGAAGCAGGAGGGTAACCAGGGTAGTGAAACCGACCCGAAGGAGTGTACTGACCGTCTGTGTCGACTGCCATCACAGCATCGAGGAGGCTACATGTTGGGCTCACCTAAACGACACAACGCATCATCGGCGGTGTCCGCCGCCCGCCTCACCCAGTCTACGGGTAATCTTACCGTACACTCTGACCTTACGCTCCTCAGGAAGAAGGATGATCTCTCCTTGTCCCTGTCAGCCCCACATTCCCCAGTCTTGGACAAGAAAGCAGCAAAGAAAGCCAAGGAGAAACAAGAGAAAGAAGCCAAGAAGACTCCCTCCAACTTCATGCTGTTGACACCTTGGTTCACGCGGCAGAACAACGAGAGGCTCCTGTCGCAGGTCCGGTCTGGAGACATCCTCGAGTTCAACATTAAGCTTCACCACCACTGGGGCATCGCCATCGTGCCCAAGAATAAAAGTAAGTTGTTTACAATTGTTAATACAAGACTACATCCCGTATTGGATTAAGAGCTTGTTAGAGTTTGATTGTTAAGCGTTAGCTTGGACTTGTCATGGAACTTCACGTAAAAGAATAACATTAGGGCTCAGACAACCTTGGTCCTGGAGCAACTCACTATATTGTATACTGATCGACTGTGCAGTTCTCATTATAGCAATATATTCAAACCACACTTGGTGATTAAAAACGTTGCAAATAACTGTAGCTGTTAAAGCAACTGGGAAAAATACTTTGAGATTCTAAATATGTTAAAAGTACCTCGAATACGGTACACGTAAGTGTTTGTTGAGGCACAGGACCGTTAGCAGTGGTGAACGGTGGTTACCTTGCATGTTAATACATACAGAATAAAAAAAAAAAACTGTGAACTCCCCGTGTAGCTATAGGAGATATAAACCACAAACACGAGCACTGTATTTCCACCGTAACCTAAGATCCTCCTTACTAGTAGTGGATAAGTGGAACAAGTTACCAATATCATCATAAACTCGAATACGCTGGATAGCTTCAAACATAGGTTGGATGGATATATGAGCGATAGGGGTTGGGTGTAAATGGGACTGCCCAGTATGGGCCAATAGGCCTCTGCAGTTTCCTCCATTCTTATGTTCTTAAAGAGACCCAAGGTTACGGTCGACATGCGCTGCTCTTGTTCTATTTTATCTACTACTGTGGTTTCTGTGACACACGCCATATATATATATATATATATCATTACTTATAATTAAGTTAACTTAACTTCGTAGTAAACAAACAGCCTGCACAGCGCCGTTAAGGTCAAACATTGCACGTTACTAATGAACGCTCCCTGTGACCCCGCCGCGCAGCACGTGGGTCTGTCTCTGACATTTACCTTATTCAATACTTTAACTGTTCCTCTGGTTTAACATGAACACTGTCAGTATCCGAACAGTGAAGTAATAAGTCTGGAAATAAACAGATCTTGTTAAATGTGGCTCCTGAAGCCTTTAACACTAGTTATAATGCTGCATGTTTCTCGAATTACTTAGTTATTTCAATTAACAGCTAGTAATTAGTATCATAGTTTGAGACGCTTGCAAATATCTTGCTGAAAAACAAAAACAAAAAAACAAGAAGCTTATGTGAGGCATTTCTGGTTGTCCCCCAACAGAGCCGGGTCTTGCTACGCTCGAGTTAGCTCATCTGGTGCGGGATAAGGACGGTCGTCAGAGGGCTGTGAGGCAGCCTTTGAAGGACTACTGGCACGAGGGAGTGACAGCGAGGGTCAACAATTCCAGGGATGTACACAAGCCACCTCTGCCCGCGGGCGAGGTCACTTCAGCAGCTCTCAAGGTAGTTCACGTTCAACAGTTACCCTTTAGTATATCCATGCTTATATACGGTATATATAATCAGTACTCAAGGTGTAAGACTACAGCAAATTTAAAGTCTCGTGATGAACGTTCATAAAACTGTTAATTCCACAAATGTCTATTATTTCTCAACGTGTTCTGTTCACAGCTGATAGTGCAGCCGTACCGCGTGTGGCAGAATTCCGAACAGATGGTAGTGTCTTGTCGGTATGGTGACGGCCAGCGAGCTCGCCAGCTGAGTGACGCTGCCAGGTGGGTCTCCCAGCTTGTGTTTGTATACAGTATACTGGGTCCTTTTGTCACTTACTGTTGTAGGTGCACTTGCTGTTTACTCCCATTTTAAAATTATATTTACACACGATTATACTGTACAGTACAGTATATATATAAAGCGGTTATACAACTTTATATGGTATTGTCATTGTTTGTTCAAGACTTTATTTATCAACTTATGAAACATGTTAAATTAATTTGGATAGGTAACATTTTATACATGAAATTCAATTGTATAACAGGTGTGTGTATATATATATATATATATATATATATATATATATATATATATATATATATATATATATATATATATATATATATTGAATCTATCAATGAATTTACAAGTTCAGATCACAAAGTCACTCTCCCTCCCACCACCACCACCACTAAGCCTCCCCCTGCCCCTCTACACATACCAATCATTATCTCACCTGTGGTCTCTCGGTGTTTTGACAGGTGGGGGTCGCTGAGCAGGTGTGTGGGGCTGTGGCTGACGCTCACCTCCTCCACCCACACCTCCCCCACAGGCTCCCCAGGACCTCTTAGGAAGAGGACCGTCTCCGTCAACTTCTGAGGCAGCCACGTCATCAGCACCTAACACGGGAGGCCAGAGAAATACTTGTTATTTCATTTATTGTAGAAGAAGGAGAGTTTTAGAAGATTGATTCAGATTATGTTTTTTACTAGATTTAATTTGAAGTTGTACAGATAGATTATATATTTTGATTTAATGCATATAACCAAAAACATTAATGAAACTGTTTAGCAGGAAGTTTTAAACGAGTGGATATTTTGTACGGTGGCGTGGTATATGTGCTAAGTAACACATCTCGTTGGGAGTTAAAGAAGGATATGGTTTTTGCCAATGACCACCAAACGTGATACTATAGTTGTATGTTAAGGTTTGATCTTTCCTCTGAATATGTATATAATGTCATCTTCATCTCCATGTTTATTTTTGTCCACATTGATCAAGGAGAAACAAACTTGAGTGACATAAGGCCACAGTTACACACATTATCAAGATTTTTTTTTCTAAAGACTTATAACACAGCGAGTCGATTCATTTTAGAAACGATGAATTACGAACACAGAGTTGTATGGTCGTGGGAGAAGCATGTGACAGCCACGGTACAAAGATTCTTTTTAAAATATGTACGTGTATTAGATCATCATTCACTAAGTTGTCTTATACTCTTGAAGAACTTTTAATATATCCTTGAATAACACATGTTGTTCATTTGTCATTTATGAAGGCGTTTGCACAGTTAGCAAGGTCTTGTTCTCTGGACACTTCATTCGACACGCTCGTGCGTCACCCTATACAGTATACAGTATACTGTATTACACACTCAGTATACATCAAGTACTTCAGAGCCTTTCAGTGTGGCATATTATTAGTATTTTCGGCAATTCATTGTCATTTGTAAATTGCGTCATGATCGTATATCCGTGTCACTTGTATACCGTGTCATTCTGTCACTTGTAAATTGTCATTTTATCCACGTCACTTGTAAATTGTGTCATTGTTTCCGTGTCACTTGCAAATTGCATCATTTATCCGCATCACTTGTAAATTACGTCATTATCTCTGTAAATCGCTTGTACATAGCATCATTATCTCTATTTTATTTGTAAATTGCGTCATTATTTTCGTGCGTCACGTAAATTACTCCATTATCAACATTACCGCCATTATTTTCATAACTATACTAAGTTAACGTTCTTAAATGTATACTTTTACATACCATTATAGCGGTAAACAGTATACATGACCGTGTATGCTACTATGGCGTTACAGAGACTCTTGGCTGTATGTGGCATTACAGGGGATTCGTGGCTGTACTGTAACAAGTCACTAGAGACGTTCACTACAGGCGCTGGTGGGTAACTTGGTCTAATGTGTCCACTCTCATTATTGCTGACGACATTCCTTGGGGTGGTTTCTCTCGCCAGCTGTACATTATGTAGTGTACAAGATAATGTACATAACAAACGTACATCACAACGAGGTGACAGCCCAGGGGAGCACACCAATACTATAGTTTAGATAACACAGTAGCATGGGTAGAGGCTGATGAAAGATGTACAGAGGTGATTTGAATCCATTCTTTTAGTAACAATTATTATTACATCTACTGTTGTGTATGATACAGACACTTCAAAAAAATATGTTAGTATATCAAAGAGATCCGAGAGGTTCATGTGAAGTAACAACAAAAGCATTCCGGCTGAATTAAAGTTATGATTTTGTAGATGTTATAAAATGTATTCTGGTAGATCACGAAAAACTAATATTGTACCTGGTTTGGGGTTGATTATTACAGGAGAGTCAACACAGTTTTCTGGAGTTACCTGAGAGAGTGTTACTGTGTTCTCTAAACTACCCATACCAGACAGGCCCCGCCAACACAGTTATACATATAGTTAGGTAGTTAAGAGCAGTTAGTCTATCATTTTGGTTCAGTTGTGTGGCGTTGACTTATTGCTGAGATAATTGACCATGTACTTTTTGGCTTAGTTTAGTGAATAGTAATTTCAAATATGTTTAATTAGACACTACAGTAGTTATAAATAACAGCAGCAGCTAAGAGTCTGGCTATGAAATGTCGTAAACTATAGCTGTTGGAGTTACTACTTAACTGAGTGTGGGGTAAGGGTCATCCCAGACCAAGCTAGCCCATGACTCCCAAATGTTCTTACATAACACATTTCTGTCTACTAGTGGTGTAAGGATGCTTCTGTTTGGCTCACTCAAGAAGGTACAGTTCACCAAGACTGACTGACTTAACTACTGGCAGCAGAAACTACGTCTAAATTGTACGAGATATTCATTAACCAGAGGCATTCTCTTACCCCTAGTAGAGGGAAGACTGTGTACCAGTGTTTGAGAACTCGGTCTAGTGTTTTATTCTGTCTACTGTATTACACCGTCACTGTGGTGTAGTGATAAATTCCCTGACACTGATGTGGCAGTTGTATTCTAGTATATAAGTAACTGTGTGTATATATATATATATATATATATATATATATATATATATATATATATATATATATATATATATATATATATATATATATATATATATATATATATATATATATATATATATATATATATATATATATATATATAAAGTGAACACAACGTTTTGTACCCATGACCAATGATCTCTTTAGTCTTGGCGCTCCACATGGTCACTACTGCGATGGTTACTCTTGTCTATGCATGTAAATATTGCCTGTGATAATAATATACAGTATATATATATAGTTTATATATATATATATATATACATTGGTAGATAAACTACTCAGCTAGGGTCATCATCAGTGTAGGTACATTCCTCTGTCCAACTTCCAACTCATGGCTGTTATCAAGTATTACAGTCTGTTGAAGGCTTCGTTGTGCTATATGTGACAGCTGTTCCACCTACTGTATGAATATTTTGTTTTTGGATTTCTTAATATTATATGAACTATTGATGTCGTGGCAGCTTACCTGTTGACCTAAGGTTAGCTCAGTAAGTGTGGGAGTTACTGAGTGAGTTCTTCCCATGCTGGGTACTGGGTGCCCAGCTGAGCCAACCAGTGAGTTCCAGTATGTCTCTACACACCTGTGTCCTACTACACCCCCCCCCCTACGTCTATGTACCTGTGTCTGAATTTACGTTCAATTCTCATCCACCACCAACCTTAACAACCAATGTCTCAACCCACACTCATCACCCCCCCTATCAACCAGTATCAACCTACACTCCTCACCTCCACCACCACCAACCAATATCAACCCACACTCACCCCCTCAATTAATATCAACCCCTCCCCCACCACCAACCAATATCACCCCCCCCACCATCCAATATCAACCTACACCCATCAGCCGCCCCCCCCCCCTCAACGTTCACTACATCGAAATCGATGGTTCAAACCCTCTCATTACCCACACAGGTGTCATTCCACAGAGCTCCTACTTCACCCCCTGCCACCTCCTACCCATTCCCCTCTCTTATTATATATTATTATTGGCTGCCATACATTCACTCAGTGTCCCAAGTATATTATTCACTTATAACTTTTTTTTATTTTTTGTAAAGACTTGTTATTTTTATTTTTGTTCTTTTGTTATCATTTATGGAACATTTGGGTTTTTATTATCATTACTTTATTTATTATTGATGTTATCTCTATTCCGGTAACATCCTCTTCCACTTACTATACACAGTTATACACTTGCTCAACTTAAGGTGTTGTATAACTTGTGTTTTATCATTATTATTTACCTGGACACGAGTGAATGTAAACAAAAGTAAAAAATATGTTGTTTCTTTTGTTTTATCTCAAATATATTTTGTAATGAAGTTATCTACTGTTTATTTTAACCTTTTCATTGGTCATGTCGCCAGAGTCCAGAGAATAAATACAGAATATTGACGATTGTATTGCGTTATGTACTACAGTATTTAAAATTCAGAAAGAGTACAGTTTATAAACTTATGAATTAGGATTTTACTTGATAAAATTAAAACAGGAATGAAATACTGTAATACCAAACCCATGTACTCACAACTTATACTGTAGACCAAACCCATGTACTCACAACTTATACTGTAGACCAAACCCATGTACTCACAACTTATACTGGAGACCAAACCCATGTACTCACAACTTGTACTGTAGCCCAAACCCATGAACTCACAACTTATACTGTAGACCAAACCCATGAACTCACAACTTATACTGTAGCCCAAACCCATGTACTCACAACTTATACTGTAGACCAAACCCATGAACTCACAACTTATACTGTAGCCCAAACCCATGAACTCACAACTTATACTGTAGACCAAACCCATGAACTCACAACTTATACTGTAGCCCAAACCCATGTACTCACAACTTATACTGTAGACCAAACCCATGTACTCACAACTTATACTGTAGACCAAACCCATGGACTCACAACTTATACTGTAGCCCAAACCCATGAACTCATAACTTGTACTGTAGACCAAACCCATGAACTCACAACTTATACTGTAGCCCAAACCCATGAACTCATAACTTGTACTGTAAAGAAAAAGAACAATGAAATGGGTTAGTCATCAAGATGGCTAAAATAATACCTACAGAATTGTTCGAGATGGCGATGGTTCTTCAACGTCCACTACAAATCTTTTTTCACTTATTGAATTATACTGATATTAGTTACATATTCAAACGTGATATACTGCAGTAGCAATGTTTCCTAGTGGTGCATTGTGGTAGCTCTGACGCACCAGCCCTGTGTTAACTAGAGTACAATATATGGTATCACGTTCCCAGTCCCTCTCATTATGAATAAATAAAGAATATATTTTCCTTAAAGAGACTCAGATGATCAAGGTAATATACGGTGAAAGGTAAGTGCTTGTAATTAATAAAACACAGGTACAGGTGTATGTAAAAATATAGTAGTTAGGGTCAGTTTAGGTTAGGTTAGTAGTAAAGTTATTCATTAATATTTCGTTTACCTATATTGTATGATCTTCACTATATGGTATTCACACATAATTGAAGTTTCGGTAAAAAAAGTATACTATTCTTTTTCTCCGAATACGAGGGTTAACATCCACACTTCAGGATGCAGGCCGTCCTGTGACATTCCTATGGCTACCCAGTCATGTCGGTATCTTGGGGAATGAGGCAGCAGATGGCCTTGCCAAGACTGGCTGTAACAAGGCCACACCTGACTACGTTGTTCCTCGAACACTCTTACAGATTATAACCCAAATTCGCCGCAAACAGAGAGAAGCTCGGGAAGCAGCCATCCCCCTGGACTCCCCGCCCACCTGGTAGGATGTCCTCCGTAAACTTCCTGACCTCTCGTATGTCTATGGGAAAGGGTCGCGGAAAGGGGACGTGATTGCTGCCCGTATCATCATTGGGTTTGACTTTGCTTGGGAGATTGGTATCCCCGCATCCCCTGAGCAACGCTCTTGTGCATTATGCAGAAGACCCGACAGCAGCACCCTTATCCACTACCTCCTAAGATGTCCCCACACACAACGCTTCCGTGACGCCTGCTGGACCACCACTCCACGACCCCCTGACGGAGACACGATGATCCTCCCCATACTGGCCAGATATTTTGTAAATAATATTGATTATGTGTTAAAGGAATATCCTTCCTTCCTTAGGCTTTAGTAAGCCCCTTTATAATATTTATACTGTATATACTTGTCACACTTGCCAGATGCTTCTGGTGTCATTGTACAGGGGTACTTAGTGACAGCACTAGGATCCCGCTTCCTCTATCAAGGAATAAACAATTGAAATTGAAAAATGAATATTCTTTTTTTTTCACGATTACCCCTTTTCATACACACACACACACACACACACACACACACACACCTATACAAGACCAAACCATTGCAAGCTTAAGACAAGAGTGGCCTTGAGAGACCATGGGGAGGGGGAGGTGGAGGCTGGAGGAGTAGCACCCCCATTACCGCCCCCACACCCACCACCATCCCCCCCCCACCCTCAACGCCAAACACGGGAGATAAATATATATATAAAAAATGGTAAAGTAGAAATAAAGAGATAGATACTAGACTTAATAAATGGAGTAAATAAACAAAATGAGATTATTTAAAAGAAAGATGAGAAGAGAGAGACAATTACCACGATGTGAGGTTATAGTCACTCCTCTCACCCTATTGCTACCTAACTTTATACCCTACCCTACCTCATCTAACTCTACCCCACCCTACCCTAGTACCCTGCGCTCTAAAACTACTACTACTACTAATAATAATAATAACAATAATTAAAAATGATGATAATAACAATAACAATAATAATAATAACAATAAATACGAGAATTAGTTTAGGTCATGTGTGTCCGTGAGATATTGTATTCGTCCTTGGCATCTGTGGACTGGCATAGGGTTGGTGAGGTGAGTAAATTGTGTCCGTGACTGGTAACTGTGGATTGGTGAGGTGGATTAACACTTTTTTCTCCCTACCTGGTGATCTGATCTCCTTAAGTTCACTCGCCAGTCAGGTTTGTGTCTGTCTGTTTCAGTTACCTCATGCAGCCACCAAATGGACAGATGGCTAAGCTAATTAAGTCTCAGGTAAATAGAGGTCATCAATAACCACCTTACTACAGTGTCCACCTTACTACAGTGACCACCTTACTACAGTGGCGACCTTACTACAGTGGCGACCTTACTACAGTGACCACCTTACTACAGTGACCACCTTACTACAGTGACCACCTTACTACAGTGGCGACCTTACTACAGTGTCCACCTTACTACAGTGTCCACCTTACTACAGTGACCACCTTACTACAGTGACCACCTTAGTCTAAGCTCTTGTGTCTATACTTGTGTGTGTGTGTACAGTGTCAGGTGGAAGATCATGCTCTCTACACAGGCCGAAGGTGTTTGGCAACTCAGTCTGTTTCATCTCCTTAAAACACAAACTGTACCTCTTGGGGAAGTTCACACACACACACACACACACACACACACACACACACACACACACACACACACACACCTGTAATTAGTCTCTCCATCTCTCACTAACACCTTCCCTCACTTACCTCAGACCGGCTAGTGAGGTGACAGGTGAAGAGGATACAGTGACACACCTTCCTTGGCACATCCCTCCCTCACCCTCAGTACTGAGACATATCCACCCCTCACCACCCACACTGAGACACATCCCTCACTCCCCCACACTGAGACACATCGCTCCCTCACCCCCTACACACTATACCACCATCACTAACACCTCTCACCTGGCCATTAATTAACCCTCCTACCACCATCGCTCAGCCCGCTTTAACAGGTGTTGTGTACAGTGGAAACCTCTCTTTAACGGACTATATGGAAAGGAAAATTCGTTATATCGAGGGTCCATCAGCTGTGAAAAACCTCCATCTAATGCACTATATAAATATGGAAGTCCATTATATCGAGGGTAAGTTAGATGTAAAAACCCTATTTATCGGTTTATATGGAGAGAGAAGTCCGTTATATGGAGGTTTCACAAGTACTGTACACACCAAAAAGTATCTTTAGGATTTTGTGTTGAGACAATATGACTCAACGGACGAAGGATTTTGACAACCCTACCGAGACAACAGGAGTCACAGTGTTCATCCTGGCATTCATGGATCACCCCAAGTAAAGATAGTTTATTTGAGTGACTTACACCAATATCCTTTAAAATATCGTCACTTCATAATAGTTCAAAGTCAACTACTTTTGTAACACGAGAATAAAACTTTCAATCTTTAAAATTTACAATGTTTTTCCTTCTCGGGTTTTTCATATATATAAACAACGTCAGTGAGCCTAATTTGATATACTGTATCTTAGACACAACTAACACGTGGATTAATTAAAAGACACTGTGGCGCACTCGGCAAGTCTCTCACGGGCGGGCGGAGGTGGGGGAGGGAGGGTGTGGCTGGAGGGGGGGTGGGGGGTGAGTGGTGACATGCGGTGATACTCCCCACGTCTTCCACCTCGAGTCGTATCTCCTCACTCGTTAAACGGGGCCGTCCACAGTGTTATCTGAGTCATGTTTAAGAAGTTTTCATTATGTTTTAAATCTTTAGTAGAGGGGGAGAAGAGGACGAAGGAGGGAGGGGGAGAGGGACGAAGGAGGGAGGGGGGAGAAAGGGACGAAAGGAGGGAGGGGAGGTGAGAGAGAGAAGGAGGGTTGAGGGGGGTGAGGAGAAGATGGGGAGGGAGGAAAGATGGGAGGAAGGGAGGAAAGCAGGGACGGAGGGAGGGAGGGGAGAGTAAAAATGAGAAGGAAGGAAGGAAGGAAGGGAGGGAGGGAGGCACACCCAACCAGGTTTTCCATGTACTCACTCACCCACCTGAACCTCTTATTGATTTTCTGTAATGAACACTACCATGACACTCCTCCCTCCCACACATAAACTGTATGATTTTTCCCTCATTAAAAGTGTCCCTGGTACTCGAGCTTGCCACTGTACCCCCTCCCTCCTTCTCCCCCACCCCCCCCCCACAGCAGGTCCCCTTCCCCAGCAAGCAGGTCCCCAACTTCCCCCACCCCAGCCAGCCCCGCCCCCTTCTCTCAACACTCTCAGCTCTTACTTTTACCTCAATACAATAACAATAATAATAATAATAATAATAATAATAATAATAATAATAATAATAATAATAATAATAATAATAATAATAATAATAATAATAATAATAATAATAATAATAATATCAACAATAATAATAACAACATTACTAACAGCATCAATAATAATAATAATAATAATAATAATAACAACATTACTAACAGCATCAATAATAATAATAATAATAATAATAATA